AGTCTGAGGAAACAAGATCAGCTGAGAAACTGGCAAGGTGAGGTGGCTATGGCTTGTTCTGTCTGTCTGATCTTCCAACATTCACCCCAATACCTGGCCCTGGGTTTGTTTTTTATTAATAAGACCCTTTAAGATTCTGCTACATCCCTTCATGGTGGACTAGACGCTATAAGCTGAAACAAACCCTCTCCTCCCCCAGCTGCTTTTGGTCATGGTCTTTCATCACAGCCATAGAAACCTAATTAAGCAAACAAAAAAATAAGGGAGCTGGAGAGATGGCTCTTCCAGAGGACCTGGGTTTGGTTCCCAGCACCAACGTAGTGGCTCATGACCACCTGTAACTCCAGTTTCAGAGGAACCAACACCTTCTTCTGGCCTCCTCAGGCGCCGAGGCAAAACACTCATGCACATAAATAAAATCTAAAAAGAAAAGTCAAAAAGAAACCGAGGACAAACAAGTGCTTTGTCATGTTGATAGAAAACTGACAAACCCAGCGTTTGTTCGAATCCGCAGTAAGAAGGCACACAACCAAGCGAGAGTCACATGACATGCTGTGTGCACGGGGAGATGCTGAGCGGTATGTGCTCACAGCCAGCTCTCCAGGCTCCCTGCTAAACCAAGCTCCCAATGTTGGCCCTGCCCTCAGAGAGGGGTGCTGCTGGAGGACCAGGGGTTCACTGGGAACAGAAAAGTCACCTCAGACAAGAGAGCCATAGGGCCAAAGGTGGCGCGACAGGAATAGAGCCCAGCAAGTTGTCCAGAAGAGTCTGAGGAATGCAAAACACTCAGTGCTGTGCAGGAACTTGGACTGGACTCTGCAACACAAAGACATCAATGGGGGGGCGGGGAAGTGGGTGAGATCTGATCAAAATCTACAGCCTAGTTAATAGCATTGTGGCAGTGTTATGGCATTTTTATCAATACACCACAGTTGTGTTAACTTTAGGAAGAATGCTCTGTAATCATTGCAGGTTCTCTGTACGCCTGGAATTATTGCAAAACGAAAGTTTAGTGAGAGAGAAAAAGAGGGGGGAGGGGAGGGGACCACAGGATTATATAAAGCACCAGATGTGGGGAACTCGGGTGACAGGCATCAGCAGAGGCCAGCTCAGGGGCCCCTATGTCATAAGATAGAGTTCAGACTTGAGTGTCTCGAGGCAATGACTCCATGACAATAATATACAAGTCCCAGATAGACATCCATGACAGCTCCTTTCCTTCGAGTTCATCCTGACCGCATTTCACCTTCCCAGATCTGCCTAAACTCACACTCTAAGGTTCACACTCTTATATACACACACATGTACAGACAGACACATGTTCATACACACACACACACACACACACACACACACACACTACCTCAGACACAGCTGAAGAGCACAAGGAATTTACAGGGCTAGAATATCTAGCCAAATGGCCCCTGAGGCACAAAGACAGTGTTAGCAACACAATGGTTTCTCTTGCCCTTTGGTAGAACCTTCTCCAGGCAGATCCCACTGAGCTGGGCGGAAGTGGGAGGGGCCCCTTCTGCTGTTCCCAGCATGCCCCATCACTCTGGTTTGTGGCTTCAGGTTACTCAAGGTCGGTGAAGTGATGTGTGTTCCCTCATCCCTGCCGTCCCTAGCTCCACTAATTCTTCCTTCACTATTTTGCATTCCGGTTGGGTGGTAGACTCCTTTTAAGCAGGATGTAGACCCTGCCTGTGCCTGTAACCCCACAGGGCCTGGCACTCAGTGTACATGTGAGGTAGATGTGTGGGGAACAGGAATCAACATGCTCTGAATGGAGATGCTCAGGAGACCGAACTAGCTCTTCAAAGAGTAAAAATGTTCCTGTTGCCAAAAGTCCGTGACTCCAAGGCTCGAGGCCTAGCCACCACACCTTAGCCTGAGATTCAGAATCACAGTTAAGTTTAGGCCTGGAAAGATGACTCCATAGTTAATTAAGAGCATTCGCTGCTCTTCTAGAGGACCTGAGCTCAGATCCCAGCACCTGTGTCAAGCAGCTCTCAAGCACCTGTGTCTCAGGCTCCAGAGAATCCAGTGCCCTGTTCTGGCCCTGTGAGCCCTCACACACGTGGCAGACACACATTTGCACAGATGAAGTTTAAAGGGTCTTTTGTGAGCATGTCCCCAGTTTACAGAGCACTTCCACATCCAAGGGCTCACTTGGTTCTCGGTGACTACACAGGAATGTCAGCCCACTTTATGGATAAGGAAATGGAGTCTCAGAAAAGCAAAGCAATTTGCCTAGGTTGTCAGAGCAACCTGGTGAATGCCCTGGAGTTCGGACCTGTGACTGCTACTATTTTCCTTCTTGTCTTCCTTCCTATGAAAGAAAGAACACACACACACACACACACACACACACACACACACACACACACCCCAGAGCCTCTTCTGCTGAATCCAGAAGTACCCTGAAGAGAAGCTATATCGTCAATGCTTACCACTGAGCCAAGGGCAGGCCCACCAGGTTCCCACCCACCTACCAAGTGATCTCTATGCTGCTGTGGAAGGAAAGGCTCAGGAGGGACAGGCAAAGGACAAAACCAATGCGCAAACTCACACGAGAATCGGTTTGTTTGCAGGTAACCTCAGGGTAGCACAATCCAGGTCACCCCGTGACTCACCCTCTAAAATCCAAGGACAGAAACAGAGAGCCAGGCACATCCCCATAAGCCCAGATATTCCAGAGGCCGAGCTGGACCAGTGTGAGCAACATAGTGAGACCTCCTTTCAACCAATCAATGAGAAATAAAAGGCACCAAGCAGCGCCAACAACAACATATCCGCTCACCCCAGGAGATAGTCTTTTAGCCTGAGGCTCTGGGGTTGGGCCACCTGAGTTCATTCGAATCTAGGCTGCTGTTTCCTCGAAAGTTAATAAACCTTTGTGACCTGTTTTGTTTGCTTATAGGCAGTGACAAGGCCTCAACCTCAAAGAACATTTCTGTATTAAATGGGCTCCTCAATATCCGTGAGAATCACGCCTGACGGGTAAGACACACCCAGAAGCTGCCAATGACAGAGTTGGGGACCAAGGTTGGAAATATTGTTTGTTGTGTAAATGCACAAGGCATACCATCACAGCCCAGACTGAACCTTTTAAGAGGCTAGTGGATAATTCAAAAGAAACAAGTAACTGGGCATGAAGGCTCATGTTTGCAAATCTAATATTTATAAGACTGAGGCAGGAGGATGGCTGCGGGTACTGGAACTAGCCTGGGCTATGTGCTAAGTTTCAGGTCATCATGGGCTAAAGAGAAAGAATCTGTCCCCCCAAATTAGTCAAGAGCTGGTCATGGTGGCGTACTCCTTTAATCCCAGCACTTGGGAGGCAGAAACAGGCAGAACTCCATCAGTTTGAGGCCAGCCTGGTCTACATAGTGGGTTCCAAAAGAGCCAAGACTATACACTGAGACCCTGTTTAAAAAAAAAAAAAAGTTAAAATAAAAATCGCTACAGGAGTGTGCTTTGAGAGTGGACAAGAACAACCTGTGATGGCTGATGAGGCCGGGAACTCAGCAGCTCAGCTAGCCTCAGAAAGGGCTGAGTTGAAATGCCAAAGGACCAGGAACTGGGGTTGAGGAAAGGAGTGAGGAACCCAGACATGGGGATGCATGTCACGTCCTGAAAGAGCAAGCAGAGTTGTAGGCAGTCACGCAGAAGGGAGCGCGAAGAGCCTCTCTGCCCATCTCAGATCCAGGACATCGGGTTCTTGTGCATTCAATATTTACTACATGACAACGTTGTGCCCGACCTGGTCAAAGCACGTAAGCCACACGGAGAACGGCCAAGTCATCCCACGTTTATGGAGTTGACTTTTTGGCTAAAATAGTTGAGTAGATAATAATACACATTCAAAGACATCTCTTTGTTCTATAAGAAGGGAGCCATGCTACAGAAGAATCACTCAGAGGTAGTAAGGGACTGGGAAGTCTTCAACAGGACAAATGAGCAAAAAAAAAACGTGAAACAAGCCTTAGGGCACAACAAATGGATGGTATTAAACACTGGTTTCTTCATACTCCCCCCACCTTCTCAGGAGGATATCCTGAGATAAACAATTTGTCTTGCTGAGCGAGAGGGAGGAACAGAGGGGATACAAACTGGAATGCCCAACAAGAGCTAAATTGCTCGGCATGGACATGTGCAGAGGACATTCACAGGTGATGAGGATCAGGAGGTGACAGAGGCTGGGGATGGGGCGGGAGACAAGGATGTCTGCCATGAAATGGGATTGTTGAACCAAGAGATATTTAAAAGGGATTTTTGTAATTAAATTTTTATGTATGGGGTGTGTGTGTGTGTGTGTGTGTGTGTGTGTGTGTGTGTGTGTGTGTGTGTTACATATGGTCACACATGTTTGGGGTGGAGATGCATCTGGAGGCCAGATGTTGATGCCTATTGTCTTCCCTTTCGATCATTCTCCACATTTTATATTGAGATAGAGTTTCGTGTTTGAACCCAGAGCTCAGGAAACTGGCTAGTCTAGCTAACCGACCTCCTCTGAGGATCCCTTGTCTCTGCCACCCATATATTTCTTTGTTTGGTTGGTGAGGGTTTGGATATTCGGGGAGGTTGTTTGGTTGGTTGAGAGGGGGTTCTCACTGTGTGGCCTTGACTGCCCAGGAACTCACTTTGTAGACAAGGGTGGCTTTGAACTCACAGATGGCCACCTACCTCTGCCTCCCAAGTGCTGGGCTTGAAGGTGTGCTCTACCACAGCTGTCCTCCACACACTAAGATTATATATAGATGGGTCCGAGAAGCTTTTCACAGGGTGCTGGGGACCCAAACTCTGGTCCTCAGCAGTTACATGACAAGTGCTTTCACTGGCTGAGCCATGTCCCCAGCCCCTAACCACTGTGCTTCCGTCAGCACGCAAAATGATGGACGAGCTTCACGGTGACACTTTCTTACATCCCTGTCATTATACTTTGTTCTCATTGTCTGTGTCCACTTCCTTCCTCAGCCCTTTCTCCCATCTTGCTGCACACTATGAAACAGTTCCCAGATTTGCATGCCATCCTTGCACAGGGGCCGTGCTGATCGTCTCCTGTATCGGTCCAGGTTTTAGCATCCATGTAGCTGATAGGAAGGACTGAAGGGAATATTTAGAGTGTTTGCATCTGTAACCCTCTCACCCACCCTACCCGTGAAGATCAAAACCACACCCTACATCGATGAATTTTGTGTTGAGTGTGTGTGTGTGTGTGTGTGTGTGTGTGTGTGTGTGTGTGTGTGTTCAATGTAATGGAAACAGTTACACATGAGGACAGAGCACTCTCCTCAAGGCCATCACAAAATGCATAATCCATCCGGTGAGGTGTGTAGACTAGAAAGTTGGAGAGCCATGAGACAGGACTGTGGGGAGGATGGTGCCGAGTTTTGAGGGTGTGACCCCTGTTATGGGAGGTGACAAGAGCAAAGGAGGAACCAATGCTGAGTCAGAATCACAAAGCCTGAGGTCTTGCCTTCACCTCTAACACTTGACCCTGTTTGGACTTGGCTCCTGTGATAGTTTAGTCTTTGGTCTCAACTTGACAGGGTCTGGAATCACTAATAAGCTGCGGGGCACGCCTGTTGACCTCGTAGCAGCCCTGATAAAGGAGAACCAAGGGCAAAACTTTGCTGTTTGCCTCATCGCCTTCACATCCCATTGGCAAATTCATCGACTCTGCTGCTGCTGCTGCTGCTGCTGCTGCTGCTGCTGCTGCTGCTCCTGCTGCTGCTGCTCCTGCTCCTGCTGCTCCTGCTGCTGCTGCTGCTGCTGCTCCTGCTCATGCTGCTCCTGCTCATGCTGCTCCTGCTGCTGCTGCTCCTGCTGCTGCTGCTCCTGCTCCTGCTGCTCCTGCTCATGCTGCTCCTGCTGCTGCTGCTGCTGCTGCTGCCTTCCCCCACTGATGCCAGCTTCATCAGGCTTCCAATGTGGACTGAAAACCAGTCACTCTCCAAGAATCCTCCAGCCTTCGGCACACCAGTCTGGGGCTGCCAGGACCCCAGCTGCATGGACTGATCGGCTACAGTTTCCCGCTTCTCTGGTGTGAAGAAAGCTGCTGTTAGGTTGACTACCCAAATCACGTCGGGTAAACCAATCTAATCAATCCCCCTTTAATATATATTCAAACCATAGCTTCTATTCCTCTCAAGAGCCCTGACTACCACAGTTCTTCACCGGGTAGTCCTGAGATGCCCATTGGCAACAACAGGAGAGATATCAGGAAACAAAACCCCTCTTCGCTCAGCAGGTAAGATACTAGGGAAAAAGGAGGAGAGGCGGAGGCGAGGTGGGCTTGGGTGCTGAAAGAAAGATAGGAGACTAAAAAAGAGACAATTCATTTTGCATGTAGGATCCCACAGAGATTTGCACTCTGGTCCCGATGTTTATTTTAATAGCGGTGTCCATTTCCTTCTGCTACTGTAATCAATTATGACAAATGCAGTGGCTTAAAATAACACATTTAATTATTTTACCATTCCAGAGGCCAGAGGTCTAACGTAAGTGGTCAGTGGTGTGTTTGTTCTTGCTGACAGTTGTAGGAGAGGACTCATCTCTTCCCCTGGTCCGGCTTCTAGAGACGCCCCATGGTCCTTGGCACACGGCCACACATCATCCCAATCTGGGCTTGTCCTCACATCTCCTTCTCTAATGTGGGGATTTATCAAGGCAACTCCATGTAGTGAAAAAGGAGGTTTATTTTGGGGTAACTTACAGCCAGTAAAGGGGTTGGTTACAGGATCCGGGAGAAGTGAGGTGCAGTCCAGCAGGGTTCTCTGGAGAACTCTGACTCGGTCTGCAATCCAGCATCCAGGATCACCAGGAACCAAGAGCACCAGCACATCTGGATCTCGGGTCTTAAGGGCTCCCATCTTGGCACTGCCCCAGGGGCAAGTCATAGGTAGGCGTGGCAGTTACCAGAAGCCTCAGTAGGGGTAGTACTTCCAGGTCAAAGCTGGAACAGCTACTTCTCTGGCTAGGAAGCTCCTACTTCTCTTTCATAAGAACTCTGGTGGAATGCAGAGATGGCTCCCAGAACTGTCTGTGTGGGAATTTCAACTGTCTGTAACTTCAGTTCCAGGGAATCCAACACCCTCTTCTGTCCTCCACGGGCACCAGGCATGCAAGTGGTACATAGACACACACCTACCAAAACACTCATCGTTCGTATACATAAATAAAATAAGGTAGAATACTTTTAAAGAGAGACCCCTTTGCAAACTTGGGGATGGTGGCACACTAAACAAAATCCCAGGACTCGCATCAGGTGTGGTAGTGCACGCCTTTGATTCCAGCACTCGGGAGGCAGAGAGAAAGGCTCTCTGTGAGTTGGAGGCCAGTCTGGTCCACATAGTGAGTTCTAGGGCAGCTAGGACTATATAGAGAGACCTTGTCGAGAGAGAGAGAGAGAGAGAGAGAGAGAGAGAGAGAGAGAGAGAGAGAGAGATTCCAAATTCTAGTGCTCAAGAAGATGAGGCAGGAGGATCTAGAATTCAAGACCAGCCTGGGCTACTCAGTGAGATCCTGTCAAAAACCAAAAGCAAACAGCAAAACCCTCTTTTGATTCCAAAGTTCCACCCAAATAATCCCCGTATCAAGATCCTTTAACTTAATCCATCTACAGAGTCCCTTATGCTGGGCACGGTGGTACATCCACAAATTCCAGAGACTAGGATGAGAGGCCTTCGGACTGCTGCTGAACAAACACGAAGGCCTGAGTGGACAGAGGCGTGAGCTAACGGAAGAGGATGGTCAGAGCATGAGTCACACACACACACACACACACACACACACACACACACACACACGAGAGCCAGGACACCTGCAGGACACCTGCAGGCCAACGCCCAAGCACGGCTTCTCTCCCCGAGCTTATGCCGGAGACGTTTACAGAGGACCGTGTGCACAGGAGGCCAGCATTCATCAAGGCAAATGTTCTCTTGACATTTTTTATCTGAATTTTTATTCTGTATGTGTATGAGTGTTTTGTTTGCATGTAGGTCTGGGCACCATGTGAATGCCTGATACCCACAAAGGGCAGAAGAGGGTATCAGATCCACTGGAACTAGAGTTACAGATGGTTGTGAGCTGCCACGTGGGTGCATCAAACCCAGATGCTCTGAAAGAGCAGACAGTGCTCCTAACTGCTGAGCGCCGCACCCCCCCCCCCAACCCAGTGTCCTTTGAAGGTGGTCACCACCAACATGTGTACCAATACAGGAATATGGTGACAGTAGAAGATTCACACCAGGAAATCCCTGAAGATGAGACCAGAGTGTTTGCAGAAGGCTCATATGCCCGCCTTCAGAATAAAGGAAGCAGCCGGACCTTCTAGTAGTGAAAGTGACAAACGCAAATGGACACCGGTACGGGAGGCTCCTGACAGGGAAAAGGATCTCGCCTGTGGCCGCATGTGCTGGTGCCCACACTGGGTTGGGAGGGTGAGCAGTCCCTAAGACTTGACAACGCTAAAGCCGACTTGGCTGTGTGTGTTTAAATCTCACCACCAGGGGGAGTACAAGAGCCAACACGGACCCCTGGGTTGAGGGGGTTTTCCAGAAATAGCTTCTCCTGGGGGGAAGGCAGAAAAAGTTTTCCCAGTCCCAACTCCATAAAAGCTGGAAGGCCTGGCTGCCGCCATGCGATCTCTGACTCAGGGGCTTACCCACATTTTCCTCTTCCAGTTAAGGCAAACCACATTTTTTTCCATCCCTCCCTTTTCCTGGTTGCCTGTAGCGTTGAGCTCCTGTAACAAACACACTTTGGCCCAGAATGTCACTGCGCCACAGAAGACCAGGGTCCAAAGACAGAGCTGACCTGTCCAAATAAACCGTAGGGTAGGGACCAAGACCAGAGGTGGATCTCCTCAGGTCCGGTGCTCTCATATAAGGCTGCCACACTGTGTGGGCCTGGAATCTCAGGCAGGAGGGTTTCCAGTCCAAGACAAGACTGATTCTGTTTTAAAAAAAAAAGGAATCTCTGTTTATATGTAATGGGGGTTCTTAAGGTGTTCCATAACAGTGATGGCTATCATTCAGTTACTGAATCAGCAAAGCACTGTTGGCATCCATTCCTCCTGGTAAGAGACTCAGTTAGCCTCTGCCTCTCCTTCCTTGTTCTCTGCCCTCCACCCAGCTCCCCGACTGCCGGTAGCTTCCCTGGCACAGACAGCTAGGTGGTTTTGCTCCTGTGACTTCACACACAGCTCCCCCTGTCCCACCTAATTGCTGATCCCCCTGGCCTCTGAAGTCTGCTACCACCATGCCCCCTGCTTAGGGAGATCTCAGACTGACACACAGGGACATCCATGGAATTGCCTGTTAGGGTCTCTCATGCCATATATCCATGGATAGAGGTGGCACCATGGCATTACACTCAGGAAGATGAGATAAGACCTAAGAAAGTTTAGAACAAATGAAGCCAGCCTTTAGAGATCTGGCTCCAGCTCAGACTCCCCCTCTGGCTCCCACCTTGTCTCCTCAGCAGATTTTTAGGTCCCAATGCCCCTCCTACCTTTCCATTTGTCCTAAACACTTCACATCTCCTAATAGATTTCTGTACTGCTCCCCCAGCTCATCCTTCATCTCCCTCCACTACTAGCCTTCATCTTACCTAACTGCGCTTCCTCAACCGCACCCAGATGTTCTGTCCAATGCCCCAAAGTTTTAAAACAGGGACTGGAGCTATAAGCAATGGTCCTTAGCCTCACAGAGCTTGCAGCCTGCCCTCTGGCCCTGCCCATGCACGGACAGGGCTCCACCTGGAACCCCTAAGGTTCATCCACTCACCCTCACTCTCAGAGGACAGAGTCCTCACAGCTTCTCTCCCTGAGACCATGGGAGCCCCAGCCCCAGGGTGGCCAGGCTTCCCTGGCTGCAGCTCTTTCTTTGGGATTGTTGGGATACTCATCCTAAAACGGAAAATCAAGGGTCTCTCCTCAGAGTTCTCGGAGACCCCTAAATTGAACACCCCACCCCTCCAGACTCCTGCCTCTCTCCCTCCCCCAGCTCCTAAACTGCTTCAGAGAAGAAAGAGGATAGAATCAGCTGCTTTCAACTCATGCCCCCAGTGAAGTACCTTTCTAAAGTGGACTGTAGGAAA